GTGCGTGCGTGCGTGTGTGCGTGTGTGCGTGCGCGCGTGCGTGCGCGCGTGTGTGTTCATGTGTGTGGATTTGTGATCCAGCATCGTATAAGAAATGCGTGGCTTTCTATGATCTCTCCATAGATCGTAGATTTAAAAAAAACAATTAAAAAATCTTAAAACCAACGTGAACTTTACAAGCATAACTGTCGTCTGTGGTGTAGCTGTTAGGGGCTTGACCTTCGCACATAAAGACATGAGTTCGATTCCCGTGTGGGGAGAATTCTTATCGAGTATGTCAAATTTCCTGCTGGGATGTCGTCATATCCCTCTGAGGCCAATTTGGCAGACGTATTCCTTCTAAATCAAGGGACTCAAACTCAAAATTAGCCGCGGGCCGCTGGAGTTCGAGTCTGTGTAATCCTGGGCCGTATCAAGGATTCCACACAAAGAATTATGTTTCATGTATCGTTGTTGTTGTTTTGTTGTTGTTTTTTTGGGGGGAGGGGGTTGTTGTTGTTGTTGTTTGGGGGAGGTTGTTGTTGTTTTGTTGTTTTTGTTTGGTTTTGGTTTGTTTGTTTGTTTTTGTTTGGTTTTTTGTTTGGTTTTGGTTTGTTTGTTTGTTTTTGTTTGTTGTTTTGTTAGTTGTTGTTGTTGTTCTTTTGTTGTTTGTTTGTTTGTTGTTGTTTTTTGTGGGAGGGGGGGGTAGGTTAAGTACAATATTCAATGATCTGACCTTCTCTACTGTCACCAGTAGCAGCCTAGAAGAACATAAACGGTGCTTCAGAACCTAGGCTTCTCGGCAAAAAAACGTCCGGGTCGCATTTACGCTAAACTATCATGTACAATGTCACGTAGAGACCGCAAATAAATGTCGCACCCAGGCCTCAAAGGCCTACGGGCTGAAAGTTTGAGACCTCGGTCCTAAATGATCTAAATTGTGCCGATGGGGGTTAACCTATACACTCTTATTTTATACCGTCTCAGGGCGTCTATAGGGCTTAACCCTTTCACCGTGGGTGGTTGGCGGGTGCTCTGGTGTGGTTTGCTTCTTCTTTCCTATCAATTGTCTATCGTCTTTATCTCCTCTCCTTCTTTTTTGTGTTTGCTACTCTCTTCTAACACCTTTAATCTTCGGCACGTAGAATCTATATGACTTTATTGTGTTGCAAGTGCCGTAAAACACTTACTAAAACTAACCCTTTCACTGCTTTCTCCTTCTGCTGTATAAGCTCTTTGATGAGACCGAAAGTTGTTTGGTTTTGGTGAGTGTTTTACGGCGTTGGCAACTTAGCGCATAAGGTCATGTGGGACACATTAATTAAGCATTTTCAGTTTGGTAGGAATTAATTTTGAATTTTACCCGGGTAGCGGCTGAACCTACTCGTCTATTTTAGAACCACTAAGTGATATTTATCCTTTTTTTTAAAGACTTATCCGAGAAGGCTATAAGAAGGCAGTGTGGACAGTGAGTGACTTGAAATATAAAGAAATATCAATAATTTTGTAGCTCTAAAGTGTTTATCTTTTCCACAGAGATGTAAATTTATTCCATCTTTCTCTCTCTCTCTCCGCCCCACCCCCAGGAAAACGTGGAGTTGCTGTGAAGAGTCCAGGCTTTGGTCACCCACCACCCCTCCTCCTCCACATCCCCCCGCTGGTCACTCGGCCACAGTTACAACACTTCTCCACAGCTTCTCACGCGGTCAGTGGTTATTGTAGTATAATAAATATTGTTTAGTAGTGCGTGTTTTGTGTGGCAGCTGGTGAGTGAGAGAGACAGACAGACAGACAGACAGACAGACAGACAGACAGACAGACAGACAGA